TATAAGTGGACGGCGTGCCACACGATCCCATAATATCATTCGAAACATCTGATTTTGTAAGGAAAGTCCCGTTAGGGAAAATCAACAACATATCACTCTAACCCGGCAAGGGTACAACTAACAGCCCAAAATATCCCGACAAGGGAGAGTATATATATTGGTCTACACATCCCGGCAAGGGAGTAATCACAACACATTCTCTTTTTAAATCTATTCTTCCTCAACTAGCACATTCATGTTCGAATTAACACTCCAAAAGTACACCAATCACAATTTTACCTCAACCGTTCACATTATATGAAACTCATCAAATAAACAAGGAGGTTGTGTCACATTATTCTAATTAAAAGCAATTAAGACTCACGGTCATGCTAGACTCCATTGCATAGATAACCATCACCATGCCTATACACCTTACTCCACATTAGCAAGTAGCAAATAACATCCTCATCCTATTCCCTCAAGCCAAAGTTAGAACAAACCCTTACCTCGAATGCTCCAAACTCAACTCACGCTTCTAGTATAGCTTTACCTCTTGATTCCACCACCAATCCGCTCGAATCTAGACATAAGTTACTTTATCACATTAAAAATTACTAAATGAATCATCCCCAAAACATGAAATTAGATTTTACAAGGTTTTTCCCAAAAGGTCAAAAATACCCCAGGACCCACATGGTCGAAACTCGAGGTTAGGACCAAAATCCGATTACCCATTCTCCCACGAATCCAAATATATATTTTGTTTTGAAATCGAACCCCAAATTGAGGTCCAACTTCCCAATTTGTAGAAAACCTAGGTTCTACCCAAACCACCCAANCTAACTCCTTTTTATTTCAAATTTTCATATCAAATTTCAGAAAAACAATTTCTTTCAAAAATTCATTTCTCGGGATTGGGACCTCAGAATTTGATTCCGGGCATACGCCCAATTCCCATATTTTTTCTATGGACCCTCCGGGACCGTCGAATCACAGGTCCGGGTCCGTTTACCCAAAATGTTGACCGAAGTCAACATTATGCATATTAATACCAAAATTCATCAAATTTTTCACATAATTCACATATTCTAACATAAAAACTTTCCGGCTACGCGCCCGAACTACGCACACCAATCGAGGCAACTAAAAGCGAGATTTTCAAGGCCTCGAAAGCGCAGAACAAGGAAGAACTACGGTGATGACCCTTCGGGTCGTCACAGATTTGGTGCGCGGCCGCGCTGGTCTACCTGAACTACCGACCCTCAGAACTCCACCACGCGGACCGCACAAAAAAGCATTGCGGCCGCATGGTTGCCAGCGCGGACCGCGCTGAAATGACCGTGGCCGCGTTGGGCCTGCAACACCTGAACCTGCATTTTTAATTCTAAGACCCTCCCGGGCCCCACTCGAAACTCAACTGAGCCCTCGGGGCTCCAAACCAAACATGCACACCACCTTAAAATATCTTACAGACTTACTCGTGCGATCAAAGTGCCAAGATAACATCATATACATAGGATCAAGCCTCAAAATATATGGTTTTCTTTCAACTTTCATAAAAACTCAAATTCCCCATTTTATGTCTGAAACACGCATATGACGTCCGGTTTTAGCCAAACTTTACAGATAGTGCTTAAAACATATTTAAGACTCGTACCGGGCGTCGGAACGAAAATACGAGCCCGATACCACAGTTTTCTGATCAATTTTCTTCTTCATTTTCCTTAATAAATTTCAGAAAGCAATTTCACACAAAAATTCATTTCTCGGACTTGGGACCTCGGAATTTAATTCCAGGCACACGCCCAAGTACCATATTTTTCTACGGACCCTCCGGGACCGTCGAATCACAGATCCGAGTCCGTTTACCCAAAATGTTGACCGAAGTCAATATTATGCATATTAATATCAAAATTCATCAAATTTCTCACAAAATTCGTATATTTCAACATAAAAGATTTCCGACTTCGCGCCCGGACTGCGCACGCAATATCAAGGTAACTAAAAGCGAGGTTTTCAAGGCCTCGGAAGCACGGAACAAGGAAGAATTACGGTGATGACCCTTTGGGTCGTCACATGCTTTTAGGAGCCTATGGATTATTAAAGGCTCTTGAGGTGGGTCGTAGCATTTTGGTCCAGCCCACAACTTATGCTTGAGTCCACATGAACGCCTTTGTTATACAACTTCAACTATCTTGTTATTGGTCTTAGTATTCAAAGAGATACGATTTCAGATGTCCAAACTTTAAAGATCAAAATTATTAAAATGGATAGTTCAACTGAACTTACATAATTCTAATCATGAACAAAATAAACTTAGTATTATGAAATCATTACATCTGGCTAATTATTCTAATAATTGCAGCTATAACTTCATTGAAAAGCTATACAAGTACTCATGTTAAACCCCAAAATCTGTCTATCAAGTGAAAGAAGAAAGTTATAACTAACATTACAATGTACCATTATTTACATTCAAACTCCAAATAAGCTGCATAAACAGGCTAGTATAACTATGACTCTCACATTTATCATTTCATAATACAATTAAATAAAAGTTGTTCCTAACTGCAGCCTAATAAATATAGATCCTTCACGAGACCATTAGCTTTCAGATTGCGCCTGAATCTCCAACGATGCTCTTGGACGTTATTTCGGCCTCAATGTTTACAGATTTGGCCAATTATGGTCAAGTCTTCAAATTATGGCACTGCGGATAGTAAACAACAAATCATCCTTACTCCCAACTTTAATAGGAAACATCTTACCATATTCAAAGTATGGTAATGGCACTTTACTTGAATTCTATGTATTGATAATCCATGACATCACACAAATCAACAAACAATCATTCAAACTCTGAAGGAGAAGACAAATTCAGACTTAAAACTAGAGCTTGCAGCTATAAAAGTACAATTCATCAAACAACAAGTGAAGAACTATTGCAATTTTTCACGGTAATATAGTATTATAATGACAGTTACATCACTAGAGATTAGAAGTAGTACCTTGACAGCAGTAAAAACAACAAGAAAATAAGATTATGACTTGGAGAAATGCAGCTAAATAGAGTCAGCTTCAGCTTAATCAAACAGTATCAAACAACAAAAATGAAGCCCCACGAAACTTCAAACCCAGAACTTGAAAAGAAATAGCTATCCAATGATGAAGCAAGCTAATGAAAACAATTGGTTTTTTTTTGTTGTTTCTGAAATGTCAAAGTTGGTTTTCCAGAAATTTTCTTTACTAAAAATGAAAATGAAGACAATGGACTCTCAAAAATCAATGTAGAATTAGTGAGGAAATGCAAGGAGTAATTCTGACTTCAGGGTGCTTTTTCGTGTGTCTTTTTCTGCAGAGAATTCCTCTCTTATATAGAATATATGAGAGCCTTATTAGAGAATGAGATAAGGTACAAAAAGAATCTACCCTCCTTCCATAAATTCAGGGGAATGACATCTTTTTGTACCAGAAAATGGACAGCCGTATCTAAATTCAACATCTTATCTCAACAATATCGGGACAGATGTCCCTTTTTAGAGTTTCTTTTCATTTGCACTCTTTTAAACTTCTGAAAATTCACCTTTTTCCAAAAATCTGATTTAACTTATTCAAGTTATTGCACCGTAATCCCTTATTTAGCAGTTTCCTGTATCACTACCCTAGATTCCCTAATTTCGATTTCCAATTACCCTCTTAAAGTTTCTGTTATTACTCATTCACACCCTAATTTCTAATTGGCATTCAAACATCAAAAATCAAACAATTAAGGCAAAATCAGAGACAAACAAAATAGAAATAATCTATTAATTAAACCTAACTAAATTATGGAGTTAATTAAAGCCAATTTAATTAGCCTAAACACATGCAATTAAACTAATGAACATGCAATTAACTCGACCATCAAATTAATTAAACGAACCAATCCAAATTAAGACCTAACAGATAATTTAAAGTAGAAAAAGAAGCAAAGGAATAGGATAAGAGGAGTACTTATTTTGGGCCAAAAATGAGTCGATGATTGAGGCGAATCAACGAACGATGATGGCGACGAAACTTAAGTCGGTCAGTGGTAAGTTGGCCGAAATCTGGCGAGTTTCAAAATGAACCAAACTAACATAAATCTATTTATCGTGTCAAGAGCAATCGACTCACTTGAGTTTGAGCCAAAACAAACGAATTCGTTGAAGAAATTAGAAGATGAGCAAAACCTGGGTTTTTTGAGATTTCAGATATACAAATTGGAGAAACCTAGAAGGATTTGAGGGGAATGACTATGGAATTTGAAGAAAGGGGAGGACGGTGATTATCTGGTTAAAGGACGGGCTCATTTGGTGGTGGTTTAGGGTGGCGCCGCCGGAAGTGGTTCTTTGGGCGGCTCGGGTTTTTAGGAGAAAAGTGATAAGAGGAAGAGTGTGGAAATGAGAGTAGTTCTGAGAGTTTGGGGGTGGGGGGAAGGGGTTTCGGACAATTATAAAGGTTTGAAGTGATGAGTTGTGGACCGTCTGATCTTGATCAACGAACGGTCGCGATTGAACATGACAAAAACGCCACCGTTTTGCTTAGAGGGGTGCTGGACCGGATTTTTGGGTAGTAGGAATTGGGCTGGGGCAGCTTTTCGTTTAAGGCAACTGGGCTGGCCCAAACCGCCCCCTTTTCCTTTTCTTTGTTTTCCTTATTCTTCTTTCTTTTATTTTATTTTAAATCCTAAATTACTTAACTAAAAACCTAAATTAGGTCCTAAATCAAAATCTAATTTGTGAACCAAATCCTAATTAACTATTTCTAACATTTGAACCATTAATTTAGCTTAAAAAATAATGAAAGAAAATTACTCGTTTTAAACTAAAAACTAAAATTGTAAAAGTGACCAATATTTTTGTGATTTTTGTTTAATAATGTAATTAACTCATGTAATTAAATTCTAAATGCAATTAAAACCTAACATGCTATGTAATGAAGATTTGAATATTTTTTGGTATTTTTTTTATAATTTTAAAATATTAAATATACAACTAATGCAAACAACAATTGGAAATAAATTCCTAAAAATTCTATAAAAATTAAAATAATTAAAACAAATCTATTTTTGTGAATTTGTAGGAGTATTTTTCGTCGGGAAAAAATCACGTGCTCACAGCTGCCCTTCTTTGCTCTGAAACAAGAAGGGTTTTCGGACAAAGATAAAATGAGCAATTACGAGCGATTTTTGCCCATTTGGATACTCCATAGGAAGCAGTTTGAAAAATAATTGACCGAACATTGCTTCAGAGGTTGCCTACTTATCCTTGGCTATAGAGGAATCAAGTCAGTGTAGTTTTGGAAATTTTGGTAGCTGGAACTACCGAGAAGCTGTGATTTCAATGTTGTTGCTGCTGTTTACTGCTTGCTGAGCTCATTATTACACCAAAGTCAAAAATGAAAAAGACTAACTAAGCTTATCAGCAACGAGTTACAAGATTCCTATCTATGAGTCTTTTGAAGTTTGATCTTGAGTATTGGTTGGTTCTTCACACAGACTCGGATATGAACCTTGATGCTTGCTAGTTACAGGTTCTAGTTCATTCTTCTTCAACTTTTCGGATCAAGACGGGACATGCAAAGCTTGTGACTTCAGTCATGTCTTATCGGTCTACATCTTTTCTCCGCTTCTGCACTTTGGATTCACTTTTTTTCTTTCTTTATTTTGGATTGAGATGTCTTCTTTTGATCATATCGAATCATGTGCTCGAGGTAAAAACCTGCTCTGACACCAAAACAAACGAACGAATGAAATTTTTCTGTCCTAGTTTTCACTAGGAAAATTTCATGAGTTATTTGTAACAAAACTCTATACTATTTTATTATTGAAAGCAATAAAATGTTGGGATTAGTGTACCCTGAGAAAATGGAGATTAGAGAGTGGGGACCCTATGTCCAAAATGAAAGAAAATAGGGAGTAGAGACCCTATGTTGGAAAAGTGACTAGGGAGTAGAGACCTTATGTCTAAAACAAAATCAATTAGGGAGTGAAGACCCTATATTAGAAAAGCGTCTAGGGAGTGGAGACCCTATATCTATATTAAAATCAACTAGGGAGTGGAAACCATATGTTGGAAAAGCGACTAGGGAGGGGAGACCCTATGTCTAAAAATAAAATCAACTAGGGGGTGGAGACCTATGTTGGAAAAGAGACTAGGGAGTAGAGACCCTATGTCTAAAATAAAATCAACTAGGGAGTGAAGATCCTATGTTGGAAAAGCAACTTTTGAGTGGAGACCCTATGTCTAAGATAACTTCAACTAGGGAGTGGAGACCCTATGTCTAAAATAAACATCAACTAGGGAGCGAAGACCCTATGTCTAAAATAAAATCAACTAGAGAGTGGAGACTCTATGTTGGAAAAGAGACTAGGGAGTGGAGACCCTTTGTCTAAAAATCATCAACTAGAGAGTGGAGACTCTATGTTGGAAAAGAGACTAGGGAGTGGAGACCCTATGTCTAAAAATCATCAACTAGAGAGTGGAGACTCTATGTTGGAAAAGAGACTAGGGAGTGAAGACTCTATGTCTTGAAACATCAACTAGGGAGTGAAGACCCTATGTTGGGAAAAGCGACTAGGGAGTGGAGACCCTATGTCTAAAAATCATCAACTAGGGAGTGGAGGCCCTATGTTGGAAAAGAGACTGGGGAGTGATGACTCTATGTCTAAAAAAATTTAACTATGGAGTGGAGACCCTATGTTGGAAAAACATAGCTAGGGAATGGAGACCCTATGCTACCATGAATTTGAACTTTCTTTCTTTTCTTTCTTTTTTTCATCATCTTTTCTTTTTTTATTTTATTTTAGAGAATGAGTAAATGAGGGAAAGAATTTTGGAGGAGACTTCCTTTTTTGGAGTGGTTGCTGCAAAGCTGTTTCTAGCCTTTGCGCAATTTCTTGTTGGTCGCACCTGCTTCTTGCAAGGCTGCTTTTGGATTGCACCTGTTTCCTGTTTTCAAACAAAGAATAATTTGTTAGTTTGAAACGGTGGTTGGTTTTGTGTCCTTGAATGTTTCAGTCACTTGATCTCGGTCCTTTCAACTGCAACCAGTTGTTTCCTGAATACCAATTGCATTTCTAACCTTGGAGAACCTCTGGCTTTTCCAAACTTTTCCATGACGGTCAGTCACACGGGACTTAACCTTTTTAACTTTATTTTGCCTTTGTGGTCATTTGACTTTGCATTTCCTCTTTCAACAGTTTTTAATTTTGAAGTATCGGTCACCATGGTTAGTCGGAGTCGACTTGATGCCATTGCCATGGCTGGGTGCTTTTTTTGCATATTAGCTCGTATCAAGAAATATTCCTGTAAATCAATCTTGTCATCCTTTCTTTGTCTTAGTTTCGGAACAGAGTTAGACAGAAAGGGATTCAAAGAAAAGCAAACAATAAAATGGACAAATGAATTTAGACGAGAGGTGTCCCTTTCGGGGACAAGAAAGAAGGACTTATCTGGAGTGCATGCCAACTTCAATGAACATGACATGCCTCTTGGACTGTAAACCGTCCAACTCTCAAAAATTCAACACAACCTTGCCTTGAAACCTAGAAACCTTGCCTAGGACTGTGTCAATGCAAGTGACTGTGAGGATCCTTTTTCGATCAGTGGTGCCCTTTGCGGGTTTTTACCAGCTGACCTCTCTCGTTTCACTTCTCACCATCGTCTTATAGTGGTCTTTGCGAGTTTTCACTAACAAGACTCTCTCATTTTCAATATCTCTGCTTACCATCGCCTTACGGTGCCCGCGAGGGTTTTCACCGATAAGACTCTCTCATTTTATTTCTATCATTTTGTTGTATCATATCCAAGTAACTATATCCTCTAATTTGAACCTCTTTACCGATTGATCGGAAGGACTGAACAGGATTTGGGGTAAAAGGATTTGGATATAATTACAACTTTGGTACATTTCAGGCAAAACCATCGCCGAAACATTACAACATTTGCCCCAATTTCACTTTGGGGGAATTTGGATTTTTATTTTGGTGTGATTGAACCCTAGAGAGAGGCTGCCTACATATCCTTTCGGAATCAAGTCGAACGTAGTTCAAGGAACTTTGTTTTTTATTTTCTTTTGTTTTTATCTTTATTTTTTTCATTCATTTTTCATCATTTTCTTTTTTTTCTTTTTTTAATTTTTATAATAGCTTCCAGGTTTCAAAGAGGATAATCAAAGAAAATGGGAACCGACTCAAAGGGTTTTCAAGGGTTTGTAGTGTTTGGATAGCGGAAATGAAAGCCTTCGTCATCCCAATCAGAGAGCATTAAATCTGCGTAAAAGGGTCAAACATAATACCTTTTGACCGCACCTGCATTGAGAGATGCTTTGGGATCATTTCCTTTAATGTCTCCCAAGTACAATGCTCCTTTTTGGCAACACTCTTCTTATAATGTATGGACCTTTCCAATTCGGAGCAAATTTTCCTTTGGCTTCTTCATGATGCAGGAGAATACGCCTCAGAACGAGTTTCCCCACTTCAAACTTTTTGGGCCACACTTTCTTGTTGTAGGCA